AGTGAGTGGAGCAGTGAGTTCTGAAGCCCTCACAATGCCCCAGTGCGCTCCATGTTTAGCAGCAAAGCCGAGCTGTTAAAGGATTACAAGGGCTCAGAAGCACTGGAGGCTCATTGATCTGGTCTTGCAGGCTCTTCACCACGCGCCCTTCAGAAGTGGCTTTGGTCTGTCCCCCAGTCCTCCACTTGCCTTTGATTGTACCATCATTGTCGTCCAGCGCAGAAGGGACGTGTCTCCTAGCCCCCAATCCAAAAGACTCTCAGACTCCTTTATTCTAACCAAGAGGGCCAACTAGCCGCACGTTCGCACGGCAGTGAGGACCAGGGTGGGCGCACGGCCCCTGAAGACTGCCAGGTACTGACTACTTTAGGCTCCGTGGGCCACACAATCTGCAGCAGGATAAAAGCCACAGATGAGATGTCGACAGCAGCCTGGCTTTGGTCAGTTGCCCTGTGTGGATGGGTGCCGAAATGGGAATTTCTCATAATTTTCACATGTCGTGATCTACTACTTCCTTTTTAATTTTTTTCACAGCTCTTTAAAGATGTAAAATTGGCTCCTGAGCCACACAAAGGAGGTGCAGGGTGGGACTAGGCTGGTGTGTGGTGTGCAGATCCTGGTGTAGGCCCTTGAGTCCAAGTGCAGCAGCCCCCATCCCTCGGTGCTCCTGAGGCACATGGGGTCCCACCTAGAGCTCCTGAACTTCCACCCCCATGTGAACAATATCGCCCAGTGATGCAGATGCAAATAAAGTTTGACAAGTACTGCTCCAGAGAAGACTTTTGAAGCCAGGTACAGTGGCACACACACTCCTATAATCACAGCACTTTGGGAGGCTGAGTCAGGAGAATTGGAAGTTTGGACCCAGCCTGGGCAACTTAGCAAGTCCCTGACTCAAAATTCAAAAAAATAAAATGTAAAAACAACTAAGGGCCAGGAATGTAGTTCAGGGTAAAGGCCCTGGATCCCATCCCCAGTTACCCCCCCGCCACAAAGTAGGGAGAGAAGACGCCTGAAGTCTGACTGGGTTGGAGTCCCACTGGCTTGCAGGCTGCACAACCTCAGATAAGTCACGAAACCTCTCTGAGACCGTTTTCTGGCCATCTAAAATGAGTGGTCGTGGCCGTACCCACGTCTAAGGGCCTTTGAGAAAGATAGAGAAGATATATTGCACTTGTCTGGTACTCTCGGTACTCTAACATGGCAGCCAGCATCAGAGGAGCTCGCTGGTTTTAAAATCAGAGATAGGAGTCACATTCAGGGTTTCTGAGCTCTGGCCACTGCCAGTGCCCAACAAGTCTCCCAAATGTTCAGAGAGGTCCCTGAACTAATGACCACTGGAGAGGAGGTGAGCCAACACCATGCCCTCCTGAGCGGGCACTGCTCACACCCCGCCTGACACACGTGGGGATGAGATGTCTTCTGGGGTCTTGAGTGCTACAACCGGACTGTGACCCTAGAAACGGCTTCCTGGGTTAGGATGCCATGGAGATGACACAACCGACATAGCCGCAGGGCGTGTGTGACCTGGGCCGCCGGGCTGTGAGCACTGCCTCCGAAAAGTAACAGACGGGCTCACGAGGGTATGAGCCTGGCACATCCCGGCACGATTCTCTCCAGCCTGGTGACCTCGGCCCCAGGTTCCTCAAAAGGGAAGCAATCACATCGGCCTCACCAGGTTTGGGGACAGTGGGATAAAATGTCCGTGTAACCGGCCTCGACACCTCAGTCACTGCCAGTGGTTTTGGCATTATTGCTGGCCTGCCCACCAGTTCCCGGCGGGCAGAAAGCAGTCTCACCATTCCAACACACTCTTCCTCCGCAACTCACATGGTTCTCCAGGCTGGCGGCCCTGCTGCAGGCAGTTACAGCAGGCTGAGCTCCTGCAGGCACCTCCTTGGCAGCCCGGGGGTGAGGCTCCTCCCAGGTTGGCTCACCTGTATGGAGCACAGCTGCCTTCTCACCCACCACTGACTTCAATGCGGGAGAAAGCTTGTGCTGAGAATTATGAGCTCTGTTCCCAGAGACACAACACCTTTGTTCTTGTTTTAAGAAATCTTAAAAATCTATCTGCCATCTAAAAGTGTGTATGACAACAAAAATGGGGAGTACCGTGCCTCCGAAAGCCCCCAGTGAAACACAAGACCGGCGAGACCGCGGGCTTCCCTGCCTGCTCACAGGGAGTGCCCTGCAGGCGGGACACACGACAAAGCCGTGCCAAGCGTCTTCGGCCAGTGCCTCTCAGTCAGCCAGAGATGCCACTCAGAGCAGACTCGCTCGGGGCTTGTGTCCCTCACACCCTCCAAAGACAGCCTGATCTGCCAGCCCCTCCTGCCCTGCTCTATTCAGGCCTTCAAGCAAATGTCACCTCCTGAGAGAGTCCTTCCTGACTGCCTTGTGTAAAGTCCATTACTTATGGAATGGGCCTAGAATTCTGTCTGTTCCATTCTCGGCCAAATCCCCAGTGCCAAGGGAGAGACACAGAGGCACAGAGAGGCAGTCAAATATTTGTTTAGGGGAGAGATGAAAGTCTGGCAGGTGAGGGAAATGAAAGCAGGGAGCCTAAGTTATTTGGCTAAGGTTACACAGCCAGCCAAGGCCAGAGCAAATGCCAGCCGGGCTCTGTCTGCACCAAGCAGGGTGGGCTGCTTACAACTTGCTTCCGCCTGGAGCTTCACACAGCGAGGCAGCAACACAGTCTGCACCACTTCTGAGAGAAGCCTGCTACCTGGACAATGAACTGGAGGGGACCCAGGGAGAAGCAGAAAGACCAGCGAGGAGGAGAAAGACCAGCTCCCGCGAGTGGATAGGGTCAGTGAGTGGCAACGGAGGGTCCCTTTGTCCTCGGGGCAGCAATGCCACCCTCTCAGACCTGGCCAGGCCGCCTTTCTTCCCACACAGGTACCATGCTCTCCCTCCCAGGGGCTCGCAGCTACCCCAGCTGGCGGAGGGTAAGGTGGATTTCAAACTGCCAAAAAAGAAAACTGGGCTGTAACCCAGAGATGGTTGTCCAAGAGGTCACCCCCAGGAGGGGCAAGAGCAGGAGCAGCTTCCCTTCCGGCAATGAGGGAAATGCAATAAAAACCCTATTCATGGCTCAAAGTGAAAGACTTTTCTAGTGCCACAAGTAGGGAAATCGCTTCCACATGAAAATCCGTCTCACTTGGTGAGAGGGCAGCTCCAGAATAGGCTGAAAATGAAACTCTTGTCTTCTCATCCGAACCCCGGCTGGGATAAAACAGCCCCACATTCTCCAAGAAGCTGTGGCATGAGACCTAAAAGCTGGTCCTGGCTTCCGAGCACCCCCACACACTCCAGTGAGGTTACTCCAGAGCAGAGTGGGGGGAGACTGCAAATAGTGGAGGAGGTCAGTCTTCCCTGTGTCCGGACAGGGCTTCGGTACCCCACTGAATCCCTGCAGGAAGAGTCTGAGTTTACGCACCCTGGGCACTCCTGCTTACCAGCTAGGGAAACACAGCTAGGAGGGCTAGGGGCTGGCCGGGGGCCAGAGGTCACATGGCTGGGGAGGAGAAGCCAGGCTGCACACCGGTGCTGTCAGAAGGTGACCTGAAGGCAGACGACAGGGGCACGTGGAGGCTTGAGATCACTTCTGCCCTGCCCCTCATCACTTCCATAAAGGTGCAGGACAGATCAAAAAGGAAGCCACAACAGGGCACGGTGGCACACACCTGCCATCCCAGCACTCTGGGAGGGTAAGGCAGAAGGATCACAAGTTCAACTTAGCAGGGCAACTTAACAGGACCCTGTCTCAAAATAAAAACAGGTTGGGGATGTAGCTCAGTGCAAATGCCCTGGGTTCAACCCCCATTACCAACAAAAAAAGGAGAAGGAGAAGGGAAGGGAAAGGAGAAAGAGAAGAGGAAGAAGCAAGGGCAAAAGCAGCAGCCCTGAGTAGTTTTCGGTCATAGTGGGTTGTTCACAAAACAAGGCTTCCCTACCCATCTCCACGTATGACACACACAAGCCCCATCCAGAACATGCCCGCGTGGGCTGCAGTACTGGCACTATTGACAAGTGCCTATGTCCGCCGATTACATATTTATGAGGTCGCCTGCCTACCACGGACTCAGAAGTTATTAAATGCTTGGAGCCATCAGGGTTGCGCTCCGTGCCCTGAAACAAAGGCAGAGAGGCTGCCAGACCCATCCGAGGAAGGAACAAAAGCGTATCCATTCCAGAGGCACCGGCTGCAAGCTTCCCTGTAACTGGTCCCCAGTGCACGCTACAGCCACAGGCAGGCAAGGACGGACAGGGGGACCCTTACCTCCCTCGCACCCTGAAACAGTGCTGTCAGAGTGGGTGGAAGGGGTGGAAGGCGAGGGAGGATCCTGGACGACTGTTCCTGTGACCATCATCCTGTTCATGAAGCTGCTGAGGAGGAGACCCTCCACTTTACATCACCCCGAGGAGCCCGCACCCCAACTTTGCTCAGCCAGTGCCCCAGCAGCCAGATGCAAGAGAAGGCACCCAGATCCCCGACTCCCGAGCTTCATTCCAGTCCCGGCCAGGCTGCCTGAAGTCAACATTCTAGGCACATTAATGAGAAACATCTGGCACCGAAGGCGTTGACACAGCACGGCGGGCAGCAGAGGATCTGTGGCTGGGACCCAGAGTCACACGGGCCGCACTGAAAACACAGCTGGAAAACACCAGCCAGGCAGGCAGCCCTCCTCACACCCGATGCAGCTCTTGGCAACACTGCTGCGCCCAGGCCGAGCGTTTGGGGCTGAGTTACCCAGACACCAGCCTAGCGCAGGCACCAAGACCTCTCACACGGGGAAGCCAGCCTGCCCCACTGCCGGCAGCATCCTCCTGCCAGGCCACCACTTCCACCTTCAATATTTGTAGCAGATGTAGCCGCTCTTAAAGGAGCAGCCTTCACATTCTTTTCCTGTGACTTCCAAGTCCGATTTTCAGGGGAAAGCCTCACTTATTTCTTATTTTTCTCCCCACAGTGGCGCGCATGTAAGGTGTCCTACCTCCATTTGTGCAGGGCGAACCCGGGACACTGGTCACCGCAGGCGCCACACGGCTGGCCTCTTTCTATCCGCCCCAGTCCGGCCAACTTCAAAACAAAAAGGCAACACAGGCATGTCTGAGGCTGCCTTCAAAACCCCATGGGATCCCCAGCCCGTCTTTCCTACCCCCACCTGCTGACTCAACTGACCCACTCCCTTGTGGGCACTTGGGGGCCGCAGGTGGTCCCGGGGCTGAAGAAGGCGTGTGCCCCAGGTGGGCCGTCTCCAAGGCTCCAAACCCCAAGAAATGGCCTGGGCTGGGGCTTTGTCTCCCCCAGACACCTTGGTCACTGGTCCCGAAGAAACAAAGCTAGACCCCTTCGTTCCCCAGAGACCCTAAAAAGGGACCTCCAGAAGCCCGGGAAAAGCAGCGGAGGGCACCCCAAAAGGCAGCCCAAAGTCGGTCCAAGGAGGGAGCTCCCGCTCCAATGGCTGGAGCTCAGGTGCGGGGGGCCCAGCACACCTTGGGGGCGCGGCGCGGGTCTTAGGTCTTTCGG